CTTTCCCTGCGTCTGGATTGGGAAATTCATTGTCATATGGAGAACTTGTGAATTTTGGTCAATTGTGAAAGAGAACATGATGTAGCTTATGGGAAGTTTTCGAAGCTTTATGTTGGAAATGCACTGACTCTTGCACAGAAATTACAGAATTGTAGGAGGTATTAACAGAACAATTCATTTAAACAAGAGAAAGCTACATTTGTTAAACAGCTGAATATAAAGGGCTTAAACACAGAAGCTGTAATTCTACTTTTCTGGTACTGAGATTTTTTAAATTTAATTCATACAGCTTCTGTATTTTGCACTTTTACATGCTGGTATTTGAATACATGCACATAGCTTGTATTTAATTTTTGGATTAAAAGCAGTTGATAAAACTTTCTTGGCCCTGAAAAATTGAAAATCTGCGTAAGATTTCTTGATTGTACTGTTTTATTTTACACCATTTTACTGAAGCCATCCATATTTTTATTCACTTCTTGTTTAATGATCCCTAAAATCACTGCCAGCATACGAGTGGAAAAGGGCTTTTTGGAAGTTTGCCAGGCTGAGTTGCTGGAAAGCAGATTTTAAACTATACAGCGCTGTGGTGATTGTTTTGGTAATGGACTCCCTATAAGTTCACTGGCTTTTTTATTTTGTTATTGGTGTACTCCCTCTAGCACGCAGAGACCATACATGTTCATTTGTAAAACTAAAATGTCTTGGCACCCTTTGAGAAATGAGACTCTTGCATCCACCTCACTGCAGTCAGAACCACAACTTGTTCCCTGCCACGATTCAGTAACTTTCAGGACATTCTTCATTAAGGTACTTAGAACTTCACGTTTGTATTTATGTTTAAAATCAGCATCCCCTTGCCTTCCCCTGGGCTTGCAGTCCTGAGATAGTTGCTGCCTTTCAGTTCCTGACCTGCAGCAGACCTGGAGAATTAAAAACCTCTTGCTTTTCAGTCCCCAACACCTCTTGCTCCAAATCTTTTAGGCAGTTGATTTTGAAAATTCATGTGAACAACTACCTGTTACCTATTTACGTATGCTTGCCAGACACAAATGCGCTTGCTAGTAGCTGAATGGGATTTCCTGCTGTATTTTGTGTAGTTATGCTTTTTCATAGTAAGTATCAGAATTCATGTTGTTTGGAATTGTTATCACAGGCTGATGGGAAAATCTGTTAGTGTTTAAATCCAAAATAATTGAAAGGATTTTGCATAAACCTTGTAAAATACAGGAAGCCAGATTCATAGGGCATGCTTGTGTCTTCTGCTAGATCAACAGATGTTGCTGGCAAAAGGTACCTAGCTTTTACTGAATACAGTGTTCTGTCAGGCCTGACAAAGAAGTGGTGCATATTGTTTTGCAGGAAAGATGTTTCTCAAACTTATTCACCCTTGCCAGTTATTTTGAACCTTGTTTTAAATTAGACCAGCAGCATTTAAATGCTACCTTGAAATAGTATTTTTGCTTCTCTATGAATTATCCGGCTAGAAAATACTGAGGAAGAGAGAATAATGTGTGAAGGCAAGTTTTTGATAAAAAGTATTTGGCAGCTTAAAATTCAATTATTTCAGTCGGCACAGTGCTGTGCGTGTAGCTGACATGCATTCCAGTATTCTTCCTTATTTCTGCTTGTAGCTTTTATCCCGCTTGACATTTGTCTCTATGTAGTTCACATGAAGTAAGGGTTTTCCATCACAATGTACCTCTTTAGGCTCCTCAGTATGTTGGACTGTCCTATCTTTAAATGTTGTCAGTTCTGGATTTGGTGCAGTCTGTATGGCTGAATGTCATTATCGGCTCTGAACGTCTAATATAATCCTTCATACATGCTGTTGTCAGATTGGACATAGCTTGGACTGGTGATGGTAGTGTTGATAGTGTGCTCTCGTTCTTTCATGCATTTGGAAGAAGCCCTTTTGCAGGACAACTGCCTGGGTTCCCCTGGAGTCTGAAGTACTGTCAGCTCACAACTAAAGCTCAAATCCTTCCACTTTCCTTATGCAAAGATTAGGACACTGCATATGTTAGGGGTTTAAATTTGTGCTGACTCCAAATGAAGTATTCTTTAGTGCATAGTGTAGCAGCTTCTTGGCGTTGTTTATGTGAGTGAAGTGACAAGCATTGTTTCCAGTGGTGACGTTTTTCATCCTTGACCTCCTAACTATAATACATCATGACACTAACCCAATATTACAATCTGTCCCCTGTCCCTCTTTTTTATCAAAGGGGGGGTATTTTAATGCTTAATGAACTTAATAAATATCTGGAATGATGCTTCAGCATTGGGTGAAACACTGCATCAAAAACCAAAGCGATAAGTGTTTGATTTGAACCCTGTAGGTTTTGGGTTATTTCCTCAAATGTCACCAGCTGTCGAAAGAATTGCACTTTACGAAACAGCACTGCTTTACATTGCTGCTCTGTCTTCAGGTGTCTTGCAACCTCAGCACTTACTTAACTCTAGGACTTTGCTTTCATCTCACTCTCATTGAATCTTTCTATGGATTTTTTTTTTTTGCTTCTATTAGTGTTCTTCCGTGCACATCCTCAAGAAGAAGGTGAGGGAAGAAAAACTGTTTGCTCTTTTTCCTTAGTTTAGTCCTTTTTGTATTGTTCTGTTAAAGATCGATATTGGGGTCTGTAATTTCTTTGGATGCTTTCTAAGATGTTAGGGTAACCTGTCCAACTTTCGATTTTTCTCTTTCTTTGAGGCTTTAATTGGTACAAAACTTCTTTTGATGTAGCTGCTATATTTGACTGCATGTGTTGTCGTTCTCCTAGAGATCTTTTTTCTTTTACTGACATCTTATTTTTGTCATCTTTTGTGCATGTTCCAATTTTTCTCTAACCTTTAGCAGCTTTTATATTAATCTTTCTAAAATGTGTACTCCTTTATATAATTCTCTGCTGTTTTTTCTTCCCAACTTTCTTTTAAATTTCTTCTACCCTTTACTGTTTATGTAGAAATTCTTTTGACTCTTGCGTTTTTGATGTACGTCATTTGTACCTTGTGTTAAGGTATTTAGATGCCTTTTTTTTTTTTTTTTTAGTTTTAAGTAGATTTAGAGTCAACTTTTATTTCATTATCCTGTTTGATTCTAATTGTGTCATTAGCTTTGTGTGGTAGAGCAGTCAAAGGATGCAGAGAGATCTATCTTCACAGGGTCTATTAAAGGACAAGGTCTCTTTTTTTTGTGTATGTGTGTGTGTGTCTAATTCTCATGATCAATAGTTTAACTAGTAGCTGCTTCAACTGGCTTTGTCCTGTTGGATTTAGTGACACAGCCTCACTTTCATCAGTAGCACTAATTCTGCTGCAGCACTTTACCACATGTTGGGTAAATATGTTATTGAACACTGTTTATTTGATTTTTTTTTTTTTTTTTTTTTTTTTTGTGCCCTTTGGTTGAGTACCGGTTAATAGTACGTTTTTATACCTTAACAATGGTTGTTTCTACCTGGGGAAGAAA